CCCCATGACATGTCTTGTAGATGATGATATGGAGGTGAATGCGATCGTCTCGGTGAATGACCAAATCACTCCCTAGGAGGTGATCTTGGTCTTTTTCCTTTGTTGTGAGCCTTCTCACCACCTTGCTTCTCATACTTCTCCAAAAGCATATCAAAAGTCACTTTGGTCTTCCTAGGGGCTTTAGAAGTTGAAGCTTCACTCTTATTCTCCTTCCAAACGCCAATCTCCGGCTTCTTTGGCACTATCATCTTAGGTCTTGGCTCGCCAATGACCACTCCTTTTCCCTTAGTAGATTCGGCTTGCTCCGGCCGGATCAACACCTTCTTATCATTGAAATTAATCGTATTCACTGGAAAAGGATCATGATCAAGCTTCATCTTAGAGCCATCGGTGAACTTCAATCGTCCTTCATCTATGGCCGATTGAACCTGTCGTCGAAACACATTGCAATCATTAGTAGAATGAGAATGAGAATCATGCCATTTACAATATGCTCGACGTTTCAACTCTTCTTGAGATGGTATGACATGGCCTTTAGGTAATCTAATTTGTTTCTCTTGTAAAAGATAATCAAAAATCTTATCACACTTAGCCACATCAAAACTATATTTAACCTCACTTTGCCGATCTTTGCGAGGAGTCAGCATTAGGTTAGAGCAAACAAAAGGCTTGTTTTTGTTAGTCCATGACCATTCAGCAACATATATATCATGATCACCCTCCTCTTCACTATCACTAGCCTCAGGGTAATCAATCATAACATTAGGCTTTTTGTCATATGATCTAAGAAGTTTTTTATTATCCTTAACCCGGCTTTCTTGAGCCAGAGCCCTTTGCATAAGTTGACTAACATCAAGAAATTGTTGGCCATCTAGTCTTTCTCTAAGAGGAGCAATTAAACCATTAAAAGCAAGACCAGCCAAATCTCTATCAGTTATATTCAAGCTATAACATCGGTTTCTAACATCCCTAAATCTCTTAATATAATCAATGACAGGCTCATTATACTTTTGCTTAACCGATATTAAATCACATAACCTAAGCTCAGTTTCTCCAGTATAGAAATAATCATGAAATTTTTCTTCTAATTGAGCCCAAGTATGATAGAATTTGCCGGTAAAGAAGTAAACCATGTAAAATCATTACCGGACAAAGATAAAGAAAACAAGCGCAATTTAAAAGTATCACTATTAGCCTCACCACATTGCGCCAAAAATTGACCTACATGCTCCTATGTGGTCTTACCGTCCTCACCACTAAACTTGGTAAATTCGGGAACTCTATAATTACGGGGAAACGACACATTATCATAATAATCAGGATACGGCTTTTTGTAAACTCTAGCACGATTCCTAGTTTCAATCCCGAATCTATTCCTAATAATCTCACTAATTATATCCTCCATGTTATTAGGTCCATGTTGATTTGGCGGTGGATTTGGTGGCCTAATAGGTTGTGTTTGTGGCGCAATATGATTATATTGGCCTTGTCTAGTATCGGGAGGATACCCCCTAGCAACATCATTATAAGCATTAGGAACATGTGGGGGAACTTGGGGATTATTTGCAGCAGTAGATACAGAGGGATCAAATGTTCTAAGATGATACAAATAACTAGCATTAGTCATCAGATCTATCCCCTGTATCGGTATAATCGCGTCAGTCTGACCGGCCCAGGGCCCGGTCTGACTGGCATCCAGAGGCGCGGTCAGACCTGCCTGAGTCCTGGTCTGACCGCGGGGATAATACCCGGTCTGACCGGCCGTTTGGCCGGTCGGACCGACGGCTAGGTCACGGTCTGACCGGTCGTCAGGCCCGGTCGGACCGACCGTGTGCGCCGCTCCATCGGTTCTACTACCCGTTTGATCTATAGGAGGTTGGTTAGCAGTGGTAGAGGCTTTATCTTTTGACATGTAATCGGCCATAAGAGGGCCGAATTTAACCCTTAAAAATTCATCAAATTTACCCTCAAAAGTTGCATCTAACTTATCTTTAAAAGCAATTATAGATGAATCTATTGTAGATGCTACTTGTTGTTGGATAGATTGTGTTATCTCACCATTACTTACCAAATCGGGGGCGAGCTTAGGACGTGGCCCGGGCTTGATGATCACGCCTTGACGAGTCCTAGTGCTTGCCCTCATCAACGCCTCCCGTGTGAGTTCGTTGATGTATTCCTCCATAGCTTTGCGGTCTTCTCCTTCGAAATCATCCAATGTGACCGGTATCATATTGGATGGCTCCACCTCCGTCTTGGATGGCGGCTTCGTCATGGCGAAGTCGAAGTTGAGTTGACGATGAACGGATCTCGTCCCTAGTGGAGTCGCCAAAAATCGTGTTGGCAACTTTTTTGACAAGTTGACAAGCACGATCACAGCACCTTAAGCCTTGCGGTGATCCTAGAGTCGCCAACCACCTCGATCTAGCAAAGAGCTAAACCTAGATGGTTTTGATAACTAAACCGGCTAGCGGAGCCGATTTCTAGATAACTACCCGTCTCGTGGGCAAAACGGAAGGTTTTCAGGACAAACCTACAAAGAGATGTCGCACTCTTGCAACGGCGGCAGACGGTTTACAGCGCAAACCGACAAAGATGGACAAACTAAGAGAAAACTAAAAGCAATATGAAAAACGATTCGATTGATTGATTGTATATTGATTTTTACAATGAACCGGCCATGTCCCTTATATAGGGGTTGGTCTTGCCCTCTACAGGCCCTTCTCCACGTCCAACTCGAGGTAGAAACTAAAGGAAACCCGAAACATGCCTTCCCGAGCAAGGAAACCTCGAGACCCGACGAAACACAGTCGGACTCGGACCTGCCAGTCAGACCGGCCACACACCGCCGATCTGACCGGCCCTGAACCGGCGGTCTGACTGCCCAACACACGGCGGTCAGACCGGCCCACTAAAAGAAAACCGGCAGACTTCCAAATTTTGGCAATCTTTCCTATTTTAATCCTAGGTGCTAAATTTGGGTGTAAACACCCTGCTTACCACTCTAACGGTGAAGAACTTTGCCACAATTCCTTCAATCTTTTTCCCAACTTATGTGGGCTTATTCGGATTACCAGATTTGCACAGGATTTTGGGGAGAATACTATTCACTAAGAAATTTTCATTTCCTCCCATTCGGATCGCACTAACCGGCCATAGGAAAATCGAAGGAAAGTTTCCCTCACGACCGATTTCACAGGAAAAACACAGGAAAGCCACCCAGATCTTAGCTTCACGATGGATTTTTGGTTGGACCAATTTTTTTCTAGTTTGATTCCCCTGTAAATTTTTCATTCCCACGGCCATTTTGTGATTCAGATTAGCAATACTCTGTCAAAATAATTAGTATCAGTTTTTACTCCTATAATGTGTATTGAACACATTAGTAAATACATTACTACATGGTGGCTACGAGAACATGGGCTATATTGACAGGAAGGTGGCAATTGGTTTACTCATAGACTACAAAGTCTAAACAATATTTATAACACTGGTTAAAGACTTACTAGTGTTGTAAGCTGGTAGTAATTTTTCGGCCATCTAAGAACAGTGTCGAATGATGTGGGAGAATTCATACAAGTAAGTACTTTTGAAGGGGGGCATCCATGTAAGTAAATTTATTACTTTTCAAGGTGCAGAGTGGGAAGCTGGGAGCAAATAGAAAACTCAGTAAATTTGTTACTTTTAAAATATGGGGAGACACTAGGAAAACAAAAAATTCAAAAGAAAAACTAGATGGTAAATATTTTACTGAAATAGGAAAAAAAATCTAGAGAGAAGGAACCAGAAAACATGAAAAATTTAGATGGTTAATATTTTATCGGGCCCTTTGATGAAACACAAATGAGAAAAAAGAAACACATAAAGTAGGGTGGTAAAAAACGAAAAAAACCAGACGGAGAAAATGTGGGGTGGTAAAAAAAAAGAAAAACTAGATGAAGGGAACATTTTGTGGTGCTCGAACTACTGTTTCACGCGCTAAATAGGAGTTTATTAGCGCGTGTCAATTAATAAACTCCTATTTAGTCCAAGTAATACTATATTTCTTTCTAATTGAACAAGTATGTGATTTTAAAATTTAAGGGAGCCAATGTGAAATGGATGAGGACTTTCAAAGTGGTGTAATAATATACATTATGTGGCCCAAATGTCAGTGGTAAGGGATGGTGTGAGACAGTGAGAATGGACATCACCACTACTACATTTTAAGTTGTCTAAATTTCCATCTCTTTTTATACAACACCAACAAATTGCCATGGCCTTTCAAGAAAAAAAAAACATTGTTGTTGCTAATGAAAACCGTCCTTATGTGGAGTACATTGTAGTATAAAATTGAAGATGTTCCCGCTGATACTTTGGTACGCCATTTGTATTTGAGTCGGCTTTTAAGTTTGTTCACTTTTGAAAATACATAAGGAGTTGTATAAGAAATCTTTTTTAAAAAAAACTCACATGTTAACTTGGGATGAGAGTCGGACTCCTAATTGCTTCAGAATTCTTGCATGACCACAAGAAAACAATGTACATGATATGGCTATCATTCCAATAAAAGTTCCAAATTAGATATCAATACTATCATTATAAAAATCCCATATAATTTTTAGACAAAAAAAATCTAACAATAATTAATATGATTAAAATAGCTTTCACCCGTTGCAACGGATATTTTATCTAGTTAACTATAACAAATGCAATGCTTCGTAGTCACTTTTCCATGCACACATAGAATTGTTGTCACCGTGACTGCAAGTCTGAAACCCTTAGTTCATCAGGCAAACCGCAATACCTCCCGGTCATATTTACAAGGTTATGCAGCAAGAAACATTAGCTGAGTGAACTGAGCGAAGAACCATTACCTACTCAAGACCAAATTTTAAATAAAATGACCAAACTCATGCAGTTAAGATACAAATATTTACAAGAAAACCTTTTATAACAGGAATGTGTCAAACCACAAGGTAAACTCATGCAAACAAAAAATGTGAATACGATGAATGCAAGGGTAGAAATATTGAGCAGAATGGTATTTATCATAGAGTGAACTATACCAAAACCATGGCAGAGTGCCAAATTAACTGCTGGTTTATGAAATTGACATTACAGTCCGTGAAATGAAGTACACAGTGGATTATGAAGATTAAGAATTAATAGCTTCTCCGTGTTACTGTCACCAGGCAACTGAACTCAAGCTGTGGTTCCAATGGAATTCCTACAAGAGATGTAAGGAATGCATTAGGGAGTACAGAATGAACTGTCATCACCTTCGGAAAATACTGCTTGAGGTAACCTAGTGATCCAGTCAAGAGAGAAAATAAATGGCACCACAGATGGAATCAACTTAAACTGTTAGACTAAATTTTAGCTATTAATCTATGAACCATCTTCATGGTAAACATATAATTTTCACAATATGCACCTGCAACTTAGGTGAAACAATCTTGTCTAGCTAACCTTATCCGGAAAGCCACTAAGCCAGTATTACTCTTACTGTTTTTAAAGTGTGACGTACTCTTATAATGATTCACTACTTTACCTTTTCATTTTTGTCCTTTTCAATTTTATTAGGATATTTTCTTAAGAAAAAAATCATTATAAATAGGTACTTATCTTACATTGTCATGTAGAGTACTGGTTGAAATTTAACATAGAAGTGAGTTCCGAGATGGTTATATTTGATATTAAAATTCTAATCCATATGTAGCTTTGCCAGAACTGAGAATGCAAAGTACATTCCTAGCAATTTAGGCTAACAAAATGTTAGTAACAATCACAAAGGTAAGCTGTAATGATGACAGAGAACTGAAAAGTTTGAGAAAACTCCATGCATTGTTCACATATGCTCTGCTGTACCAAATCCCATTCCATGTCATGTATCATATCTCAACGAATGTCGGCATCACTGATATGTGCAATCTTAACCCAATCATGGCCTACATGTTTTTGGCATCTCTTCTTGAGCTCAGAGCTGCAGCCATAGATGTGCAGGCTGGTAAGAGATGCTGGCATATCTGGAAGTGTCTGAATCTTAACTGCATTGTTTATATGCATGGACTGCAGGGAGGTCAAGGTTGTCACTGCTTGTGGTAAACATTGCAGATGAGAAGCATTAGTCAGAACTAGTTCTTCAAGGGCATGACAGTTATGCAACAGATATTCCTCAGGTAAGAGTGCTAGGTTAGGTCCACCAGAAATTTGAAGCCTCTTGATGGTAGTGACGCTTCTCAATGGCTCTCTAAGTAAGATTGATGGGTGGTCAATATCAAGTTCACTGAGATTCAGAGATAGGCCAGATGAATCAGCATCCTCTGGTGACAGAATAGATGAATCTTCAACAAGCTTGTCACAGCTAGCGATTGTCAATGACATGAGCGATGCGAGACCTTGGATCCCGATAAGTGAAACCAGCTCTTTGCAGTCCCAAATGAAAAGGTATTCAAGATTTATCAATCTTGCAAAGGCTTCCACTGTTGGAAGGTGTGCGATTGAGCAAGCATTTAACACCATATGAGTTAGCCCTATCAAACCTGCAAACAGTTGTAAAGGGAGTTTTGACATTGCACAACCATCTAAAAAGATCCGTTTCAGATATTTAAGACCTGTCAATGAGTCTAGTAACGCAAGTTCAGCATTAGCACACAATCCAAAAGTGATGGTTCTCATAGTATGGGGCAACATGATCTGTCGTGCGATCAGATTTGGGCACTTCACAATTTCAAGGGTTTTCAGGGAGGAACATGAACTGAATGAATCTTCTGGTAGACATGATAAACTTGCACATTGTTGGATGGACAATTCCTCGAGAGCATAAAGAGAACACCCATGCCATAAAGTTGTTATATACGGGCAGTTGGATATCATTAGCTTAGACAGAGAGAGGTTGAACATTGATGATGAACTTCCATCACTGCTCACAAAAAATGTCGGCATAGCCTGTAAACCAGCATGATCAATTTCAATTTGTCGAATGCTAGTAGGTAAAGTCGGTAGTCTTCTCAGCTCCTGACAATCACGCACTGCTAGTGTCTCAAGCCGAGGAAATAAGTTTTCACCCTCCAATCCAACCCATTCCGTGCAAACTGGCATGTTCTCAATCTCTAGTACCTTAAGGGATTGCAATCCAGAAGGCTTCTCACCACTTCCATAAAATGATGAATCCACACACTCTACCGACTTCATGTTAACTATGTACAGATATTGAAGAGAAGGTAAATGCCCAAGATATGGAAGGCACTGCATGCTTTGACAATCACGTAGATAGATGTATGTCAAGTTAATGAGTATGAGATCTTGCAGCCAAAATGGAGGTCGAGAACCAGGATATCCTTCAAGTTGCAATTTAGAAGTGTTGGAGTGTGGTTGAAGCTTATCGAGAATTGCATCAGCTTTGCTTGGATCACATGAGTCAGATGATCCTGGAGCCCAAACTAATGTTACTGCAGATAGATGCTCTTTCTGGTCCAACATGATTTCAGCAGCCTCTTCTATGTTGCAAACATTCTCAAGACCTGAAACATGTAAATGATGAATGTCTCTCAGATTCTTCAGTTCGACAATAGTGTAACCAACCTTTTGTTGGATGCTGAAACCATATAGCTCATGAAGAGAAGTCAGCTTTCCTATAAAAGGAATCATGGGCCTTATTACAAGAGTTAGATGCAAATGGCGCAGATTAACCAGCTTGCACATTCCTTCCATTTGTCCTTCCATAGGGACTGCGGGTCTCGGATTATTGAACTTCATTGTTTGCAAGTGATATAGATTGTATACAACTTGTGGGAACCAACAGGAATGTGTCGTGTTTCCTTCGCCCCACATGAGAGAGAGAGACAAATAGCGAAGGTGCACTAGATCACCCACTGCATCAGGCAGCTTAAAGGGATAATTTGCGGTTAGGGATAATACCCTCAAGCTTTTTGTGACAGCCAACACTTTTTTGAGCATGTGTTCTTGTTCTGCCTGATCTTGCTCTTGAAAATGCATGATAAGTGTGCGTAATTTCTTTGACTGGGAGATCTGTTCAACAACAGTGAGACTTATCACATCAAGGCATAAATGGCGAATAGTATTTGGAATCTTTTCAGAACTTATACTAACTCTGGCACATTCGTTCACTGAAGCTGACCGTGCCAATTCATGCAAAAGATCATGCACAACAAACCGTTCCTCGTAATATTCTTCAAATAAACGACATTTTATATCACGACTAGACCGAGGTCTTGATTTAATCTCAAAAAAAGACTTTCTGGTTAGTGCATCTAAATATCCCATTCCAACATCCTCTGGTGTCATGCCATCTACCGATTGTTGGATTAGTCCTGAGCCCATCCATAAATACACTAATTCTTTCTTTGTGAATTCATAGTCTTTATGAAATAAGCTGCAATACCTGAAACATGACTGCAAATGGGTTGGTAAATGCTGATAGCTCAACTTTAACACTGTCATAATCCCTTCCTTGCCCTGTTGTATATTATGAACACTTGATGCCAATATTCTGTTCCAAGTGTTACTATCCCTTTTGTTGTTCAACAATCCACCTAGAACCTTTGCTGCCAATGGAGAACCACTGAGTTTGCTTACCATTTTCTTGCTGATGTGTTGCAAGTTTCTATAATCATCAGGATTAACTCCAAAAAAGGCATGTCTTTCTAACAGAAGAAGAAGTTCAGTTTCTTTTAGCCCACTCAATGATAAAGACTGGCATTCTCCTTGCATCGCTCTTGCAGCAAGATTAGCTACTGATTCCATTCGAGTTGTCAGCAAGATCTTGCTTCCGGTCTTCCCATATCTTAATGGACTTACTAAAGTCTCCCAACCACGCAGACTCTCATCATTCCACACATCATCCAGTACCAAGAGAAAGGTTCTGGAACTCAGTTTCTCCTGAAGTGCCTTGTGGAGAGCATCTAGGCCAATCATACCTATTTCTGTTCTAGTCACACCTTGGAGGATCTTTCTCGTTAGTGTTTCAACATCGAAAATGTGAGAAACACAAACCCAGACGAACAAATCAAAATAATCTTTTACCTTGTTATCGTTGCATATAACTTGAGCTAGTGTTGTCTTCCCAATACCCCCTAAACCAACTATACAAAATATGGGGATGTTGCCAACAATCTGTTCAGATGCACTGTTTTCACGCTTGGTCAGCCACTGAACTACAATATTGCTCTCCTCTTCTCTTCCAAGTACTAGGCTATGAGGCAATGAGCTTGTCTCACGCAAATTCTTGAATTCCACCTCTTGTTTAAAGTTAACCTTATTGCCAAACTGATTCAGAACTTGGATAAATCGCTCAACACCAGAGGCAACATCAGCTAAAGCCTTGACAGCATTTTTCAACCTCTTCAGTGACCCAGTGTTAAATGTGTGATTAAAACGCTGAACAATCTTGCCCTTATACTGATGCAGAGAGCCACTCACCTTGCTACCCGCTTGTATTTTTTTGGCCTCCCTCTCAAGCTTGTAGTACTCCAGTTCATCAAGCGCATCCTTAGCCAATTCAACAGCATCTCTGAGCTGCCACAACCACGCATCCAGTGCATCACTTTGGTCTCCGATATGCTCCATGTCCACAGCATCCAAGACCACCTTGATCTGAGGGAGGAGTTTCTCCAGCCTCTCTCTAGTAGGCTTCAGCCCTCCAGCTTCCTTGTTATCCTTCAAGTAGTCGAATGCCTTGTTGATGACATAGGTGATGACTGATGTTGCAATAGCTTTCCCTGCAAAAACCGCAGCAACACCAGCCATGTTTGAGTCCTTGAGAGATCAAAGAAAGAAAGCTTTGGCACACAAGCTGAAGGCCTTTTTGGGCAGAAATGGAGAAATCTACTTAGAAACGCATGTGGATCCTGCTAACAAACTAGAGGATAACGCTGCTAAACCACACAGGTGGTGAGCTTGACTAGTACTCCTACCACAACTAATAGTACTTGATTAGTGACAGGAGTATTGACTAAATCGACACATTCGTGACCCACCAAACAAACAGTTCTTTAACTTTGGATGAAAAAGAAAGAATCACACTTTTCGCAACAGAATCCTTCTATTCTAGTCGAGTTGGGTAAATTTTCCACCCTGTGAATTCGACTGTGGCTGGTGTTAAAGATTGCATTACGGCACTGCAGGTCTGATTATCCCATCCCGTTGTATATTTGTTGCAACAACGCAACATCCCAAACCCTATTCCTATTTCCCAATCATACAAGAGTATCGCAGAAGGAGGAATTAAGCTCAACCGTACCAGACTGGCGTGGCGGCGCAAGTTATCCGGCACGGAAGATTCACCATATGTCGGCGGTGGCTTGGTTGATCCGGCCGAGCTCGAGCAACACCCGACGGTCGCCGCCTCGCCGGCGTGGTGGTGAGCGAGCGGCATGAAGCCCGCTCCGGCATTTCGCCGAACACCTGGTAGGTTTGAGGCGAAGAGAAGCACGCGCCGTGCGGTCCGTCGCTACGGGCTACGGGGCTACGGCTGCAATCGATCAGCGTCATGTCCATCTCTGCATAAGTTTTGCTGACAGTGTATTTGTAAAATCTTAAAAAAGGACCAGGATGTACAAAGCCGATCGATCCATAGACTGGAGGCCAGGGCGATGCGACGACGAGGGTTGCAGGCTTGCAGCATGACTCATCATTTGTTGACGACGCCGCGACGGCAATGACGGTCCAGTGTTTATATATACTTAATGCTCCCGCCGCCCCCATCAACCAATATACTGGTATTTACTCAATTTAGGCCATATTTTCGCACCAAACTTCCCCCAAACTCTCAATTTTCCGTCGCATCACATCACATCCAAAACTTTCCTACTCACGTAAACTCCCAATTTTTTTTGTCCAAACTACCAACTGTCCAAACTACCAACTTTCCTCAAACTTCTTCCCAATTTCAGGAACTAAACGCAGCCTTAATCCGAATATCTTGTTTCACAAATTCACACCCCTATTTGAAAAAGGCTTCAACAAGTTATTACAACAAGAGTATGTTGCAGTTTCAGTATAAGACTCGACCTGCCTTTAGCAGAATCTAAGCCTTGTGCAACAGTAAAAAACAATGAGTTGTATTCTGATCTAAAACTGGCACCTAGGATTTTTTTTTTCGATGGAATGGGTAGGAGTTTTTACATATTTTTTAAGCACCACCTAGAATTTGGTTGGTTGTTCTTTGATCTAAACATAACACAGAGATTTTTAACAGATATTTGTTTGTAGGTTCAATTGTATCTTGAGTGCAATTTACTCAAAGTTATATTATAAAATATGCCATTCTCGTTTAACAGAAGAATGCATAATTGCATAGTCATTTCAACTTCACTTGAATTTAGCGTCTCATGTAGGTGGTTCGATCAACCTATGACGCCAAGGAGCAAGGAAGTAAGTGGAAAACCTACCATACCATGCGACCATGCCCATAGACTACTCACTACTACTTAACCTGCTAACCAGAATGACACACTGACACTACAGTAGAGACAGGCTAACTGAAACTGTACATGATGGGGTGGGCTGAGATCAACGCCCGTTAGCTCCAGGGTAGAAGGTAGTCAGACGGTAACATCGGCAAGAAGCTCTTGTAGCATTGTCTACTTGTCGCCACTCGGCATAACTGTGCTCAGGGCGCCTTCTTGTAGCTCAAACCGCTCTCCCAGATCATTCCTACCACAGACTCCAGCATCTCCTGCAGAGAATTCGCCTCCTGATCAACAGCCTGGAAAACAACAAGACTTACAAAGGTCATTAACTCATAATGCCGTTTGCTGCACAGTTGACCAGAAATTATTAGCCACATATTCCAATTCTGGTTGACCCCATGTCGGTAAAATGGGATCTTAGATATTAACATGATAATTGATATGCAGTACACAGCGGAGGCGGACTTTGGATCATAGCCTTATTAGGAATGTAAACTGAAGTGTAAATGCTGAAGAACAGCACATACGCATTAACTTACGAGCAGATTTTACTTACCTCCAGACTTGCAGATATGCCAATTAGTTTAAAGGTAACTTCATTAGAAACCTCTCCAGTTGAGCTTCGATGGTCAAACCGGTCAGCATGCCTTAGCTTGAGCCTCAACTTCTCATTTCTGAAAGCTTTGTAGTTTGTATGCCACACTCCAACTATGCTGAACCTCTCATCAATCGATTCTTTCCCAAGAGGCCATCTAAGTCCACCTTTGACATCAGGATCAATAACAGCAGAAGATACCAAGCAATTTATTGCATTTTTCACTTCAGCCTGCAAAAACCAAATAACTTTGCCAAAAATGTCTCATAACATAAAGGATCAGAATTTTCAAACAAAACCCAACTCACATCTAAGTTCTTAAGGATTCTTTTGGTAGACAACATCAGCCTCAGGTCCAGATCCTTGAACAGACAGGATATATCTTCCACCAAGTGGCGTACCTGGTTCAACTGAACCTGCATGGAAAAGTATGACAGTGTAAAACAAACATGTTAAGCCAAAGAGTTCGTTCTTCTATTGAATAATATATATTTTAAGGATATAGCAACGCACACAAAGTTTTATTTATCCTACACGGGTAAAATTTGCATTTAACAAACTTACCAATTAATTATATGAGATGCTTTTAACATAAAATTTGCAGTTCATAAAAACTGAAGAAACAAAAACCACTGTCATGAAATTTCTTCAGTAGAATAGACATAGGACATGATCACATTAACACAGGCCTGATTTGATTGCTGTCAATTCAATCGTCATCTAAACAAAATATAATGTAACCTGGTAATAGTTCAAGGCTGAATCAAGAACGGATTACATTAGAACTCAGATACAACCATCCAAGGAAAGATATGCTAGGTCTACTGTACTCCTAGCAAAGGACACAAAAGATGACTCTTTCAATGAAGGAAAAAAGGCACCAGACCTTTTCTACTAATAGATACAAATTTCTTACAATTGACAACCAAAATATTCCCTCCGTCCCCAAATGAAGGGGCCAGAATCTCTTAAGGATGGAGGGAGTATAGTGTTTGGCATTGGCTGTGTACCATAGGCTATCGAATTCAACAAAACATGGAAAATTGAATATTACTGTGCAATGTGGCCCATAATTAGGACTTGCTAGTTACTGGTTATATTTCAGCTTTTCAAAATAAAAATTTAAGTTCAGAAAGTTGGTGATGATTAGATAGATTTTATGGCACGAACATTTCAGAAATCCCTTCAAATATACATACTTCAAGTGTATGTACAGATAGCCTCATTCAAATCTAAACCTCTTCAACTGTACATACTTTGTAAGTGCACATACAGATGTATTGTAAGTACACTGTACACAAACTTCCTAAGTATCCCTGTACTGATACACTCCAGAATATGTACTCTCCTTCTCACATGTATGCATTGTAAATGGGCCTCCAACCTTTTGGAACGTTCAAAGCCCACTTGAGCAACTCCTTGGCATCTACAGGGCACTTATTCTCAATGAACCAAACAAAACCACATATTGCATCACAGAATTATAGTTAGCATGAAAGAGTTGCATAGTGCTACTGCGAACTGACAATGTAAGGTTCAATTGTGAGAAGTTACTATCCTAAAGAAGTTCCACTACAGGAAAAAAAAAAGGCTATGAGTAAGTGCTAGATGACAAATCATTGGAATTTTGAGAGGCACATAGTATATTATCTTGCTTACTGATAGTGTAGGCTTCCAGTCTATAGTATTGGAAGTTTGTAGCTAATCGAGCTAATCCATCATTAGTAGATTTACTATAATGTTGCATCCACAAGACCAATCAGTAAGAACTAGCGACCTCAAAAATGATTAAAGGCATATATTTTGGGAATCACAACACCTGGAAGGACAAAGTAGCTAATAGGCTTCATCTAGTACCACAAATGAAGTAGACAAGTTTATATGAGCCAGCTTCTCACTTTATCAAAAAACTCATACGAATCAAGATCCCTATGATAGACCGGTAGCTATGATTTATGCCATACATCTCACAAAGATGAAGCCTCATTGTTCCTATTTCTCATGGGTACAAGTCAAAATGCTAACAATCCCAACACTCTATTTTCGGGCATTCAGCAATCATACTCAGAAAAATAATCTACACAAGTAGAGCCAAAATTAAAATACAATGTGCAAACTACTCATATGAATCTATGATGCAGAACATTAATAAGACAAAAGGTAAGAGGCTAAGGTTAGAACGATAAGCAGTTAAGCACACCTTATGGATAGCAAGCTTTCCATCTTCTTGCACGGTGCATTTGCACGTTATTGTAGAATCACTTTGACGCTTGTCAAAGACCTACAATTCATTTACAGGCCCCAAAGTTAATTTCACCCAACTATAAACCCAAAACATCGTAATTGACATGCTACCAGACGCGCAAACCTTCACATGGTAGTGCTCTTTGGAGGAATCAAACTCCAGCCCCATCTTCTCCGCAGCGGATCGCTCCATATCATCCAAGCACTCACTAGGCACATTGGTATAGAACGATTTATGAAGATTGCTCCTCGAGCCCTCTTCTCCTGCTTTCACGGCTTCGCGGAGCGAGTTCATGGAGACGGGTGATCCGCCGCCGCTACACAAAATCAATCAATAATAACAGCAGCAACTCTTTGTGATCAACACCCAATCATTCTTCCACGAATCCAACGAGAAATGGTAGATGGGATGGGAGAAATTAAGGAGACTCACGACGATTCGAAGAGCACCTTCCCCACCCTGGCCACGACGCTCAGCTTCACCTCCTCCTCCTCCTCAGGCACATCGCCCGCCTTCGCCCTCCAAGCCGCGGCGAGGAGGTCCGGCAAGAACCTCTCGGTGACGGTGGATGCGGCGGCCGCCGCGGAGCAGGGGGAGGAGGCTTCGGCGGCGGAGGAGGAGACGAGGGCGAGGGGCTTGGCGCCGGTCCTGCGCTCGATGGGGTCGCAGGGGAAGGGCTCGAGGCGGAGCGACCCGTCGTCGTCGCCGTCGTCGTCGGGGAAGGGCGGGAGCGTGGACCAGCGGGAGACGCAGCCGGCGGCGTGGACGATCTTGCTGGAAGGGCGGGTGGTGGCGCCGCGGTGGTGGCGGCCGCGTGGGGAGGAGGAGAGGGAGAGCGAGCGGAGGGAGGAGGAGAGGGAGGGAGGAGGAGGGGCCGGGGTCGGGGCGGGCGTGGAGGCGTTGGAGTGGCGCTTGTGCGGCGGGAGGTAGGCCATGGCCGCCGGCGACGAGGTTTTGGAAAGTTGGTCAGTGGCGACTGCCAATCAAGTGGAGAAGTGGAGACGGCTGAAGGCAGGAGAATAAACAATTCCGTAGGGTTTTATTTAGGATTTTTTTCCCCTACTTTAAAATAGAGAAACAATTAGATACATATTTTTGGAATAAATTTCACAAAACCTACGTATATATCGTATATATTTTGACTAAACTATCACGAAACTACATATTTAATACTCCCTCCGTTTCAGGATATAACACGAAACTACATATTTAATACTCCCTCCGTTTCAGGATATAAGACTTTCTAGCATTGCTCATATTCATATAGATGTTATGTCTGAATTCATTAACATAAACTCTCTCCGTTTCTAAATATTTGACGTCATTGACTTTTTTAAATATATTTGACAGTTCATCTTATTCAAAAAATTTAAGTAATTATTAATTCTTTTTCTATCATTTGATTCATTGTTAAATATACTTTTATGTATACATGTAGTTTTACATATTTCACAAAAGTTTTTAAATAAGACGAATGGTCAAACATGAGCTAAAAAGTCAACGGTGTTAAATATTTAGAAACGGAGGGTGTCGGTGACATGGGATCGGGGGTATCATGACTAGAGGCTTGGGCAGCCGCAGTCACCCACGTGGCCTGACCCCCTCGGGGGGGGGGGGGGTCGGGCCCGAGGGAGACGTGGCCACCCCCTCCTCTGTCTTCCCGAGGGGTCGGGCCGCTCCTGCTTCGGCCCCGAGGGCTGGGGCGCCCCGACCCCCTGTGGTATTGGCGCCATGTTTGTAAGTTAGGTGGGCACAGCGGCGCTCACCAAACCACATTTATTGCGGAATGGACAAGCGCGCCACGCCGCATTTAATGCAGCACGGCGCACGCATATTCGGTCCGTGACCGGTCGCAGTGTGTGATCGGTCACAGACCGGTCAGATCGCGGGTTAGGTGGCAGCAGGCGGACTGTCACACGCCTCGCCCCGTCCCGTCGGAATGATGAGAGCCTCTTGGCACTCGTCCCTAGCTGGAGCCGGCGTGGTAACTCCTGGAGTTAGCACGTCAGTCCCGGCTCGATTCATGCCAGGCTTCATCGCAACCATTGCAAGGAAGTCACTGTATGAAGAAGGGCAGATGTGTGGCATGCTAAACTGACACGTGGTGGACAAGAATGACCGGTCTGTCACTGGTCCGACGCCGGTCACGTCATCGGCAGACAACCGTGCTCTCATGTTGCATCAGCTTCCGGCGGAGTGAAGGCAGGTATGACCCATCCCATCGGAGGGTCATTCGGACAGCGGCCATTGCAAAACTCCGCCCATTAATGAAGAAATGACAGGGTGATCCCCTGTGTCTGACGAGTGACGGCGCTGGGCATCACTCAAGGACAGGCGTTGATTTAGCTTCCAGGCGGAGGCGCGTGTCAAGATTTGGTCAAGATAGGGTGGGTCCCCACCCAAAAGAAGAGTAGGTAGAAGTGGTACATGTGGTATCCCCTTGAGATATAAAAGGAGGACCTTGCCCACAAAGAAAAGGGGGGACGACTCTGAGAAGACTTGAGCTGGGGGAGGAGATCGAGAGAAAAAAGAACCAGAAGAGAAGGAAAAAGAGGGGTTCTAGAGCTTGAACTCTCTTGCTCCCCGACTCTCTGTAACTCTTCCTCACACATATCCACCAGAACACAGGAGTAGGGTATTACGCTTCTCAGCGGCCCGAACCTGTCTACATCGCCCGTGTCTCGTGCGTTTGCTCTCTCGCGTACATTCCACAGATCGAGGGTGAAGAACCTCACTTAGCGCCCCTGGCCGAACCGGCAAAGGGGGGCCTGCGCGGTCTCCCGGTGAGGAGCCCCACGCTCCGTCATCTGGCGCGCCAGGTAGGGGGCGCGTGCGCTTTTCTAAGCCCTTATCCTCTTTCGTGTGCGCCAAGTTTCTCCCGCTCAGCCCAATGGCCGAACGGGCAGTGGCGCACAACCTCTCTCCGAGCGCTAGCGGTGACGACAGGGAGCAGAACCCGCGCCGTCGAGCTCGTACTCCACCGTCCCCCTTTCGCCGAAGTCTTGGGCGGGAGGAGGCGCTCGAGGGGATCGAAAGATCCGCGACTTCGTCACCCACGGGTGATGGAGAAGGACGGCGAGACGGGGAGCGTCGCCTCCTCGTCTACGGCGATGGCAGCACGCCCCAGGGCGCGCTCCAGGCTGCGGGCGCGCTTCTGCGTCACCCGCCCGTCGTCCCCGATCCAGAGACTCCAGCTCGACGTTGGCTGGATGATGTGGCCAACTTGGTCATGACGGCGCAGCAGCGCCTAGGCGCCGGCGGGCGGTCCTTCGCCCCCAAGGCCTCTGGCACTGCTACCACCGGCTTCATGTCGTCGAGGCGGAGGGCGCGGCGAGCGGCGGCCGTTACCCGCCGTTCGTCCGCTATTCCCTCGTCGACGCCTCCGACCAAAGAAGATGTGCGTGGGGGGCCGGATGCCCGCCTCAATATTGAGCGCCGACGCAATGGTCGTCGTGCTGCCCACGCAACGAAGGGCGCTTCCTCGTCCGGAGCGCCACTTCAGTCCGGGCATGGGGGCCAGCCTCCCATGTCCCCGGTTGGCGGTGCCGGCTGTCGAGCCTTTGTGGCGAGCCTTCGGAACGTCCGTTGGCCCCCAAGGTTCCGGCCCACCATCACCGAAAAATACGACGGAAGCGTCAACCCTGCCGAGTTTCTCCAGATCTATACGACCGGGATTGAGGCCGCCGGGGGTGACGACAGGGTCATGGCGAATTTCTTCCCCATGGTCCTGAAAGGTCAGGCGCGGGGTTGGCTGATGAACTTGCCACCCGCGTCGGTACACTCTTGGGAGGATTTGTGCCAGCAGTTCACCATGAACTTCCAGGGCACATATCCGCGCCCAGGTGAAGAAGCGGACTTGCACGCGGTACAGCGAGGGGACGATGAGTCTCTTCGCTCGTACATTCAGCGGTTCTGTCAAGTCCGCAACACTATACCGTGCATCCCCGCACACGTGGTGATCTACGCGTTCAGGGGGGGCGTGCGGCACAATCGCATGCTCGAAAAGATCGCCTCCAAGGAGCCCCAGACCACCGCGGAGCTTTTTCAGCTTGCGGACCGTGTGGCTCGCAAGGAGGAGGCCTGGACCTGGAACTCCTCCGGTTCCGGTGTGGCAGCTCCGGCCGTCCCCGGGTCCGCCGCTCGGTCAGGGCGGCAGGACAGGAGGAGGAAGAAGAGGTTGGCCTTTTCCGACGACGAGGGGCACGTCCTCACCGTCGAGGGCGCTTCGCGGGCCACCCGAAAGGGGAGGCCTGCGAGCGACAGAAAGAAGGAGGCCGAAGCTCCCAGCAGGGAGCGCCCGACCGGCAAGTGGTGCTCCGTGCACAACACCTCCCTCCACGACCTCGCGGACTGCCGCGCGGTCAAAAGTTTGGCTGAGCGGACGAGGAAGTGGGAGGAGGAGAGGAGGCAGGAGCGCCGTGAGGGCAAGGCCCCGGCGGCCCCCGCCGGCAACCGGCGAGGTGAGGCCAAGCAGAAGGCCCCCGCCGAGGATGTCGACGATGGCGACGATAACCTGGGGTTCCAGGAGCCTCAGGCCACAGTTGCCACTGTCGATGGGGGAGCGTGTGCTCATGCTTCTCGCCGGAGCCTCAAGGCCATGAAGCGAGAGCTTCTGGCCGCGGCCCCTACCCATGAGGCGACGCGGCGGGCGCGATGGTCGGAGGTGGCCCTCACCTTCGACCAGACCGACCACCCGCCGTGCGTTGCCCGGGGAGGACAGATCGCGATGGTGGTTTCCCCCACTATTTGCAATGTGAAGTTGGGGCATGTCCTCATATACGGGGGTGCAGCTCTCAACATCCTTTCCCCCGCAGCCTTTGACGCCATCAAGGCCCCAGGGATGGTGCTCCAGCCATCCCAGCCGATCATCGGTGTGACGCCGGGGCACACTTGGCCGCTAGGTCATATCGACCTCCCGGTCACCTTCGGTGGTTCCGCCAACTTCCGCACGGAGCGGGTGAACTTCGATGTGGCGGATCTCAGTCTGCCCTACAACGCGGTCCTGGGGAGACCCGCGTTGGTGAAGTTCATGGCGGCAGTCCACTACGCCTATCTCCAGATGAAGATGCCGGGCCCTGGTGGCCCCATCACCGTCCATGGCGACCTCCAAGTCGCGCTTGCTTGTATGGAGCAGCGCGCGAACCAGCTCGCCGCGGCGTCCAAGCCCGAGGGTGGCGACGAGAGGCTCAGCGCCTCCGTCCCGGCCGCCCCGAGGCAACGGATGATCACGTGCGACGAGGTCCCGGTCAAGAAGGTTGCCCTGGGTGACGGCCTGTCTAAGACCACATGAATCGGTGGTCTTCTGAACGACAAATAGGAAGACGCGCTCGTCTCCTTCCTGCGGGCAAACGCCGACGTCTTCGCCTGGAGACCGGCGGACATGCCCGGGGTCCCCAGGGAGGTGATTGAGCACCGTCTCGCCGTGCGGCCGGGCGCAAGGCCGGTCCGGCAGAAAGTACGGCGGCAGGCCCCGGAACGTCAAGCCTTCATCCGCGAGGAGGTGGCGCGACTTCTGGAAGCCGGATTCATCCGTGAGGTCATCCATCCGGAGTGGCTGGCGAACCCGGTCGTCGTTCCCAAGGCGAACGGCAAGCTTCGGATGTGCATTGACTACACCGACCTTAACAAGGCATGTCCTAAGGACCCTTATCCCTTGCCACGTATAGATCAGATTGTCGACTCCACCGCGGGGTGCGACCTTTTGTGTTTTCTAGATGCATACTCTGGTTATCATCAGATTCGCATGGCTAGGGAGGATGAGGAAAAAACTGCATTCATCACCCCCATAGGAACTTATTGTTATACGACAATGCCGTTCGGGTTAAAGTATGCAGGTCCTACTTTTCAACATACTACTCGAATTTCTTTGGGTAGCCAGTTAGGACGCAACGTTGAGGCTTATGTTGATGACTTGGTTGTGAAGACGCGCAACCAAGAGACCTTACTCTCGGATCTAGCGGAAACTTTCGAAAGTCTCCGCTCCGCCCGCATAAAGCTGAACCCCGA